AACAATAATAATTACTGAACTGGAAAGGCAAAGTTCCCACTTTGTATCACTCTCCAGGGAAATTGTGGGTTTAAAACCTCCACAACCAGGATGAGAAAGACATCAACTGTGAGATTATGTGATAAAAGCTTGTCTACACACCCACGAAGGAGTGCAGATAGACAATGTCATGGGGGTAGCTCAAATAATACCCCACCCTGGCTCCTCCCACACCCATCACGAGAGCCATCAGCCCATCAAAGGCCCATCTCCAAAAGTCCAGAGGAGCACAGGGACACAATGGCAGATGGGAACCCAAAATGAAGGATGCAGAGGAAGGGAAAACCTGTCCAGGCCCCTCCCAGGGCTGCCCCAGGAAAGCCTCAGCCCCAGGGTGCAGCTGTGAAGCCCATCAAGATCAGTCAACACCACAGCAACTTTAAGACTGAGGGGGGTTGCAGCCTACAGATATAGGACTCATGAAGGGATGCATTGGAAGAGCATTTTGGGATTGCACAGGACTTCTTATGGGATGCTTAGGGAAGGAACCAAAGGCAAAGAAAAGGAGGGATACAGGTGATTTGGGAAGGAACAAGTGTGGGAAAACAAAGGGATAAGGGGATAGAAAGGGCCAGTTGCATGTGAACAGTTTGCTGTGTGATGTGCTTGTTTGCCCTGCTCTGCACCTGCTCAGCACAGCCCGTGCCTATCTTCTTATTTAATTCCTTTATAACTCTTCCTTTTTTTTTTTTTTTTTTTTTTTTTTTTTTTCTGAGTGAAGGACTCTTTATTTAGGGTACATATGGGGGAGGGGGGTGGTGGGTGGTGTCTGAGTACCAGTCTGCAGTCAAGCCATGGATTGGGCAGCCTATGTGCCTGGGGCCAGCAACTGGAGCGAGTGAGAGACTGGGTGCCAGTGGCTGGAGAGACCTGAGTGAGTGACAATAAGTGCCGTCCACTAGAGTGGACCAGGGCTCAGAAGCCCTTACGTCAGGGTGCCAGGGGGAGTGAGCGTGCGAGTGAGTGTGTCAGCGTTCGTAACAATCAAGCTGGATTAGCTGGTGAGAAGGTGATGTGCCCTGAGAGCGGGGGAGGAAGAAGAAGATGGTGCATCTCTAATGGTGAATCCACAGGAGGAGCTGGCATGTTAGATTTGGGAATACATGCTTGATCTCGCTTCAGTTAGACCTGGGAACATGGAGCTGTGTCAGCCTCACTTCTCTTGGGCTGATGGATCTGGCCTGATTCCTTTAACATAAACACCAAATATTTCACTTTGTGGGAAAGTGCTGCAACCCCAGACCAGCAGGTAAGCGTGTAGCAGCAGATGTAGTCACTGCCGTGACTTTTAGGATAACTTTGCTCATTCTTTCTGACGAACAACTGTAAGACATACCTTGAAAAGATTATAGCTACGAATCCTGAATGAATGAAAATGCATTACTGGCAGAAAAGTTCCAGATAGTCTTTCTCTCTGCATAGTACTAGGGTACATAGACCCTATTTTGAGATACCTGACAAACTCCATGCATTGATGGGAAAGCACAGGCCCCTAATTCTGGAGCTGGGTTTCCAAGGCCAGGTACCTAGGAGTGAAGTGTTGGCATAAAGTAATTTAATTGAATTAAGTGCTTTTTTTCTTAAAAAAAAAGGTAACGTATAAATACTGGCACAACACTTGCTTTTATCTGCTGGACTGGCCCCAGTGCTACAAAAGCTATTTACAAATCAGTGTAAATGGTCCAGAGAACTCCCTTGCCAGCTAAGCTAAACAGCAGACAATTGAAGAGTTAAAAGATGAGTGCCTTCAGAGGCACTGGGCTCTCCTCAGGGTCCTGGGGAAGAATACTGATGACTGACCTGTGCTCTGAAGATTATCTGTTCCCTGTTTTTTCTCTGCCCCTCACCCCACATAGGAAAATCCTTTCTTTCTCTGCTGCTTATGAATTTTGTTTTCCAACCACACCTCTAGCCCTAGGAGAGCTATTACTGCAGCCCTGTGTTTTTCAAACAGTTGATGCACACATTATCTGAATTTCTTTAAAAGGAAGGGCTGCTAAAGGGTGGGTCCCAAAGCTGCACACGAGAGAAAAGAACATGGTGTGAAGGAAAGTAAAACAAATGTGCACAGATGCAGTCCTAGCAACATCTCTTACAGTAATACAACAGTAAACACTGGCCTTTCTGCCTGAAAAACAAGACTCTGTGCAGAAGTTTGTATCTACAAGATACAAGTTATTTCTTGCAGCCTCTCCTCGGAGATTTAGCATTAATGTATCAGGAACTAGACCGGAATATAAATGATTTTCTATGACAGTGAAAGTGACTTTAGAAATGCTCACCTGTTCTCACTGAGTTTACATCACTATTTTTATGTTTTTAACAATGTGATTGACTCCTCCTGTATGTTTAACAGCAAATTCAGTAAGTGGTTCACAAACATAAAACAAACTGTTTGACTGGATTTGAGCAAGAGAATAGCCTCCAGAAGACTAAACTGCACCAGTGTATTTTAACCCTCAGAGAAACCAGCCACCAGTGAAGTGCAAGACCAATCTGATCTGACCTTACCTGCCAGTGGCTCCAGCTAAGCCAAAGATTGAAGACTAAACAACAGCTATTTCTGGAGCTAAACAGACTTACATTACCTAACCAGAAGATGAAAAAAGCAGCTAGACTGAGGGGAAGAGGCAGAGTTTTTCAGTGATTTGGAAATTGAGGTGTTTTATCACCGCTTTTATCCTCATGTCTAGGTTTACAGTAAATTCAAGAGGACTCTGTGATAGAGGATTGGAAAGAATCTTCCACGTCAGGGCCACACCATTCGCTTTTATTGAGGGTGTCTGGGTAACTCCACTGAAGATGGCTGCATGAGAAGCAGCATGCTAGCTCTTGTTCTGCTGCACTATGCAGGCTCTGCAGAACTGCAACCAAGTGCTGAAGGAGATCCCCCAAAAGACAAGAGGAAGAGTGAGGAATGTGGGAGACATCACATGCCCAGGACAAGCAAAACCTGGCCGGAATTTAACCAGGGCCTATGCCAACACTGCCACTTCAGTGACCCTAGCTCAGGTAAAACATAGGGTCCTCTGTTGCAACCAGATTTCACAATCCCTTCTGTAAACTGATTAAACTTTGTTTTAAAGCCAGTGGTGATTATTGCCTTGCTAATTTCCTTTTTTAACTATGGCCAGTGAAGATCATTTGGTTTTGGAGAGAGATCAATAGAAAGCTTAAGGGGGGAAGCAACTCATGCTGCTCATCAAGATGATGCAGATCAGATTATTTGCAGCCTTTATTTTATCTGAACTGTGACTCATTATGCAAACTTTCAGTGAAGGAAGTATAAATTATGTCACTGAGATGGATGAAAGGAAACAAACACAACAAAAACCAACCCAAAATCACAAAAAGAGAGTCTGGACAGCAGCCTCAGTTTTGTATAACATGAGCTCACAAATTATTTTTAATAAGGAAGTTTGCATTTCCAAGCACAGGCATTCCCTCTCACCTCCTCCACTTTTCTACTGCATAAGTCAAAACTAAATGCAGGCCTCTTAACCAAATTTAGTCTTCACCTCTACCCCCACTCCCTCCTGCATCTCCTGAGCTCCTGCTCCCCTTATCCATCACCCCCCATTCTCACCCAGGACCCCACGACCTGGTAGCGCTGTGAGCGCTGCTGGAAGCGTCCGAGTAGGCACATCACCATGATGTGCATCTTGTCTCGTGGAGTGCCAGCTCCTCCTGAGTTTGCTGTCAGAGAGCAGCAGCAGGAGCCAGACTGCTCCAGAAGGAGAGGAGAGCTGGCAGCAAAGGGGGGTGGCTGCCGGCTTCAGGGCAGGCTCCTTGCCCGACAGTGCCCACCCTATGGCAAGGTGTGGTAGGGTGCCCAGTTTGACCTAGATGAAGTAACTGCAACCAGTAATAACAATCTCTGAATATTTTCAGGGCTGGAGCACCTCTCCTATGAGCACGGGCTGAGAGAGTTGGGACTGTTCAGCCTGGAGAAGAGAAGGCTCCAGGAAAACCTTATAGTGGCCTTCCAGTACCTAAAGTGGGCCTACAGGAAAGACGGAGAGGGACTCTTTATCAGGGAATGTAGTGATAGGACGAGGGGGAATGGTTTTAAACTGAAAGAGGGAAGATTTAGATTAGATATTAGGAAGAAATTTTTCACAATGAGGGTGGTGAGGCACTGGAACAGGTTGCCCAGAGAAGCTGTGGCTGCCCCATCCCTGGAGGGGTTCAGGGCCAGGCTAGATGGGGCTTTGAGCAACCTGGTCTGGTGGGAGGTGTCCCTGCCCATGGCAGGGGGTTGGAACTAGATGGTCTTTGAGGTTCCTTCCAACCTAAACCATTCTATGATTCTATGGTAAGTCCCACATACCAGTAGATGCATTTTGTATAGGGAATTCCAGTTGGTCTCTTCTTCTTCTGTTCCTTTCTTTCTTTCTACATATGAACATATTTATTTGCATAAATGAATGTGGTGACTCTTTGCAAGTGTTTCACTACATTTAGTACGTATCATTATTCAGACTGAGAGGATGTAGAGGAGTATGGCCCTTTTATTTTGAGAAAAAAAAAAAAGCTACCTATGTATCTATCACTATTTTGCGAGGGAGGGGGGGAGTTTGCGTTTTGAACATCTACGCAAGCTGGGCGCAAGCTATTGCTCCCATCGGGTGCTTCTGACCCTTCAGTACCCAAAAAACATTTTAAAAAAAGCAACAACAAAAAACCGAAAACCAAAGAACAAACAGCCCGGCCATGCTCTCCTCAAGGCCCGCCCTGAGGTGACGGTTAAGACCCGCGGTGGGAGGGGCTGCCGCGCCGGCACGCGGGAACACGGGCAGGCCGTTACCCGCAGCTGTTAACCTTCCCCTTGCCGCCAAAAGGCGAGGGCGGGCGCGTGCCCTGCCCGGCCCCGCCCCGTCCTGGCCCCGCCCTGCGGCGGTGGGCCGCCAGCTCGCGGTCCCCCCCTCAGCGGGGCGGAGGTTCGAGGCTCGGCGGTCGCCATGGCGCAGCGCAGGGGCTCTCGCAGTTCTTACTATTTCTTCGTGCGCGATCAGCTGCCTGAGCTGCAGCAGCGCGGGCTGCCCGTCACCTGCGTGGTCGATGCAATCCCTTACTGCTCCCAGGCCTGGGCGGTGAGGGGAAGGGCCCTCTCCTGCCTGGGGACGGCCTCGGGTTAACTCAGCTTAATGGCGGGGAGGGCAGGGGGGAGGCCTGCGGTGCGGCCCGGTCTTGTTTCTGCAGCGGTGTGGTGGGGCTGTGAGTTTCGTTGCAGCTCCCCTGCCTCTTCCTGGTGGGGAACCAGTGCCCGTTTGTGTGATGCTCCTGTGCAGGTTGTGTGGGTGACAAAATGTCTGCTTGGCCTTTTCTTGGAGGGTAAACTGGCTGGTGGCTCAGGTGTCATACGTTTAGCTGTTCAAGTGGGCATTTTGAGTTGCCTCAGCTGGCTCTGGCCAAGAAGCACAAGCTATGCGGTCCTCCCTTCAGCTGCAGGGTGGCAGCTCTGGCTTGTGTGTGATGGGTAGTGGCATACCTGGCTGGTAAGAGTAGTTTCAGAAGACTTGTTTGTGGTGGGGCTGTGCTAGTTTACCCTCATCCAAAGATGGTTCAAAAGCATGTGGTCACTAGATGTTTTGAATCAAAGCTTATGGCATTGTCAGGGAGAAAGCTGCTAGAAATGTTTGAGTCAATGTTAGCAGTTGGCAGTTCTTGCCAAGCGTTGATAATGTACTTTGGAAATGGACAATTAATTTCTTACAGAGTTTGTTGGGTTGTGGGACTACTAGAAGGAAGCAATAAAACCTTTTTTTTAACAATTCACTTTGCTTCAAGTTGCTGACTAAGGAAGAAAAGATGGTATATACAGAGAAGGCTCGTAAGTGGAATGAAAAATGCTCTCAGAAGACAGTGAAAGAGGTAAATGCTGAGAAAGGAACACCCTTCAATGTAGCTAAATAAGATGGGGAGTAAGTGGTGTTGGGGTTTGGTCAGCTATGGTGCTGTGGAAGATCACCTGCCCTCCATAGCCTCCCAGCCTCTGGAGGTTATGGCTGCTGTGGTAGCCCATACCGTTATGAAGGTTAATCAGAAAATTGTTCTGATTTGTGTTGAAGGTGAAAACGCTCTATGCCACTTTAAACCAGCACATCTTGTTCCTATGGGTTCTTTGATCAAGTGAAATGTAGTTCTCTAACAACTGTTTTACAGTGACTGAGTTACAGTGTTGGGTTTTTTTTGTTTATAATACTGTAAATTGCTATGACATCTGGTCATAGGTTCATGTTGCTTTTGCTTCATGGATGTCCTTAATTTAAGTGGTTCTTGTCTGATGGTCTGAAACTACATATTATACGCAGCTGATTTGGCATTTTCAAGTGGCTGTGTGGTGGACCAGGTCAACGAAATGTTGTAACCTATGCACAAAAAAGAATAATTATACCTTGCCATTATTTTTAGATTGGGTTGTGGTCAGGAATAGTACTAACTGGATCCCTTCTGCTAATTGCTGTCTTGAAAAGGGGGTGGGGGTGTCCCCGTCCGCCCCCCGTCTGTCTGTTCCTCTCCCAGCAGCTTCCTGAAGTATAGTTTTCTTTGGAGTTTGAATTATGTGAGGTGTCAGAAAGCTTATTTTATTGCGGTCTTGGTTGGCAGTGTGAAAACTTGTGTGTCAAAGCAAAGAGGCTTTGAGTAAATAGGTGATACGCATTTACTTCTTTACCCAATATTACTAGACACTGACTATGAACTATAAATTATTGGTGAGGGTAAATTTTAGGACTTCAAAACACTGACATGCTGCTAAAGAGAACGACAGGATGATCTTAGTTTGGAGTAACTAGTAAATCTGGATTAGTTAATTTAGTCAATCTAGATTAGTAGGGAGATGTTATGCAATGTTTTCAGATTTTTGAGGATCTGCTTGTACGGAGAAGAGCTGTTTAAAATTCTGTTATTTTGCAGGCTAGGGGTATGGAATTAATGAAGCTCCATTTTCGTATATGATGGAAAGCTACATTAAATGACAACTAAGTCATAAATGGAGGCATCTGTATTTCCTTCCACAAGCAGTAGCATTTTAGAAAGCTGTAATCAGGGAAATTAATTGCTTTACCAAACATCCTTATTGCCTGTCAGTGGGAATAGGGAGGTGTGTATGCACAAGATTATATGTGATCTCAATTTATTAATAACACCCCGTTACACAGACAACCACAGTTATTTTGTGTAGTGAAAGGTCTTGGTCATTTTTTGGAGATGACCTAAGCTTGCTTGGATGGGACTAATTCCTCATTTTATTTTAAATAGTTCAAACTGATAATCAACGAACCTTGGCTTAGAAGGTCATCTGAAATTAATGTATGTGGATGTGGATGTTATTCCTGATTTGGGAATTGAATGATTGAAGTCCGTAAGCCTGCCAAGTTTCTCTTCCTGTTCTCTAAAATCTTATTGTTCATGCATGGATTTGCAGCGCCTAATGGGCATATGCGCCCCTCTTACTTGCTCTGTGCCAGATTGATCTAATGACTTCCTTAAGACTTTATCAGCTTTTCATCAATTGAATTCCTAGTCAAAGGCAACTAATGCACGTGCCAAACTTTTTGTGAAGTTTGGAAAAAAAAATTTGAAATTCCAATTTGAGAAGTACCTTGCCAGTTGCAAGTGGTTGAACCTAACAAAATAATATATTTTTTTTATTACATTTTGTAAATTTAGCTGCAGTTCTTTCCAGTTATAGTAAGTTGACCAAGGTACTAAGATATCTGTCCCTTTTTTTGTTAGAAGAGAAATCTTGCCTTCCCGATCTGCAAGTACACAGATACTTGTGTGTAAGCTGCAGACTTGTCCACCTAACCATAACTGTTAGCGGAATTGATGTGTTCCTCTAATAGAAGGAGGTGAAGGACTTTATTGGGGGTTAGTAAACTCTTTTCATTATTTTTTTTTTTTTAACTTTCTCATCTTTTCCAGATGTGTAAACTGGCTCATCCGGTTCCTGCTTGTCTGATTGCAAAGATGCCCAGCGTTACTTCTCTTCCAGATGCCTCTGCTATGTCTTGGAAGAATGATCAGGGTATAGTATTCTTAAAGCCGTAGATCCTGGTAGATAACAGCTTGCCCTTTATAGATATTCTCTATGGTTCCTATACAAAGGCTGTTTACATTTTGCTAATAGCCATCTGTGTCAACTGTTGCTTTGTTTTGAACTAATAGTCTACTGCTGTAGAAAGGTCTTTTGTAGTGCAGAGGGAAGCCAGTGCAAATGTCCTGTCCCACCCACCCACTCCCCCACGCCCCCCAAATAGTTCTGTCCTCTGTTTTTTAGCTTGATGGGAATATAGCCACTAATAGTTTCTTAACAATTATTTCACCTTTTTTCAGGAAAAGGTAATTCTTCAACTCACACATTTGTGATTTACAAGGCCTAATCCAAGTTCAGTATAAAAGAATACTTCTACCAATTTTAAAGGGTGAAGAGTTGTTAAATATCAAAGTTCAAAATTTGTGTGGTACACGTATTATTCTTTGGGAGAATAAAAAAGCAGATATGTACTTTGTCATTGCTTTTATAACATCCTGGCTTGCTTCCTTATTGAAAGAACTCTTGAAAACTAAACTTTTCTTATCTGTACCCGCTCTTCAAATGGGTGTTTTGATTCGAATTGAGTAATGAACACATCTGTAATCTTTTCCCCATGAATATTACATTATTCTGAAAAAGGATAAATGGTAGTGCTTACAAGATAAGTCAAGCAGGCAGTTAATGTAATCTGTATCTGCCGTGTGGTTAAGTTTCAGCTCAAGCCTTTTACCTAACAAGTCTCTTGAACTATTTTCATGTTGTCATGGTTATGGAGGGGTGGGAAAGAGAAGCTCCATAAAAAGTGTAATACCTGTTAGCATCCTCCCTGCCAGAGGTCATGCTCCCCTGTCATTGTGGTGCAAATTTGATCACGTGAATCATGGTGGTTTGAGCTGATGCAATTGGTCTTTAAACTGAATGACAGCAATAATGATAAGGGATAACTGAGATGCATTTTATGATGCTGCTCCTTAATATTTCTCAGTAAAAGTCCTGTATGGTTCCCTGTAGCTATATCCATTTTTTCCTAAGGGAAGTAGTTCAAACTCGGATAGGACAGGTATCTTTCCTGTGACCCCACAGGTTGTAGAGTTTAAGACCCATGTAAGAGAGCACCAGCATTTAAGCTTAGGACAACTGATGTTAAGTGTCGTAAAGGCTGTCATACAGCATAATTTCTGTGTAAAAAAAGGTATACATCTCTATTACTTAGCAGAACAAGTAGGATTTTTTGATGAGGGGCAGAACTTAAGGGTAAGGATTAAATAGCTACCTTAAACTTAATTGAGAATATTATGTGACATTCATGAATAGAAAGATTAAGGCGCCTCGTGAAATATTTTTCATAGTTTGATACTTCTTAAATTTGTAAATGATGAATTTATTTCTTAACATTTGCTCTGGGTATTCTTGCCACCTTCTTTGGGAGCTTATTTAGTGAAGGAGAAGCAATCCTTTTAATTAGCAGACTTCTCATCTCCTCTCACCCCAGAAGGTTATTACCAGCTCATTTAACTTGTTTAAGTTACTGAATTGAGCTTTGAGGCTGCTTTGCAGTTACTGATTTATTTTTTTTTTCCTAACCTTATTTTCCTAAAGGGTGAAGACTGATCATAAAAAGGAACAGTAATTTCTGTTGGATTCCAGGCCTCTTAATATTCTTGTGGGTTTAGGGTTTGTTTTGTTGTGGTTTTTTTTAATTGCTTCCTTCTGTCCCCCTGACCTCAATCTCTACACACAGTAGCATCTATGGAATGTGTACCAGGACTACTGATATGCCTGACTCTTGCATAAGTGTTAGTTACCTTGTTATCTCAGATACAGAGGAACCTCTATGTGTTTTACTTGGTCGTTACCCTACTGTACTCACTCATATGATGAAGTGCACCAAAGCTTTCACTGGATGAGGTGAGGCCAGGATGGCTTGCTGTAACGTCTGATGGGACTTCTGAATATGTGTTTGTTTTTTCTTTCAGCTGTGGTTGCAGACATCTTCTACTTCCTGAACATTTACAGCCATGGCAAGCTGCCATCCCACTGTGAACAGCGCTTCCTTCCCTGTGAGATTGGGTGTGTCAAGTACTCCCTACAGGATGGCATAATGGCCGATTTCCATCACTTCATAGATCCAGGTGAGTTCCAAGGAAGGGAGACAAGAAGTAGTTCATGGTGTTTTGGGGTGAGAGGGAGGCTTCTAGTGTCACTTGCTGCTGCCTAGATTAGGTTTCTGGTATTAAGACAGGTTTATTTCTTAAGTGATTAGACATATTAAAATATCGGAGCAGTGCTGATTGTTTCTCAAGAGATGGACTTAAGCGTCAGAACTGCATGAAGCTTCAAAGAGGGTAGAACAAATCGAAGAGAACCTTCAGATGTTTGTGCTTTATATTTCATGCCAATGAACGTTTGTCTTGACTGGATTTAAACACACACACTATACAATACACTTTGTTTTTTAAAATGGGTATAACTGAAAATAACTTTTTCAAAAATAGTTGTGGCACTTCCACAAGGCCACAAGGGAAGATGAAGCTTGGTGTATAGTTGAGAGTTAAGGGTCTGTCATTGTGGATGTTAGGTGATGATTGTTCTTTTTGTCCTGTCTCCCCTGCTTTTCTGCAGAATTACCACCACGTGGTTTTCGGTACCACTGCCAGGCTGCTAGTGAGTATCAGTGGAGAAAAGAATGGTATGCAAGGGTGTGCGGTTTTAGAATCAGCTTATCTGATATGTATCCAATTGTTTTGTAAGTCTACAGTTTCTCCTTCTGGGAACTTGTCAAGTTTTGAAGAGAGAGGAGTGACAGAGCAGCTTGTCACGGTCATGTTGTGTGTTTCTTGTACCCACAAATGGCAGAGCACTTAACCCAAAATGGTTTTGTCAATGGCAGAGTTATTTATATTCTGTCTTCCTATTTTAATTCAATAATAACTGCCGTATGTTCTCAAATGGGACAACTTTGTATGGCTTTAAATGCTTTCAAGTCCATCTGAGCAGAATGTCCTTCCCTTGATAGTCCTTGTGTATATCTTCAGCATGAAGTGCTAATTCATAATCAGGTAACTCAAAGATACTACTTTCCATTTAAAAGTCGTGTTTTGCAGCTTTACATATATCAACAAAGTTGAAGTATTTATACCCTTGTGTCTGGCTTGGCCTGCCTTGTTTCCCTTGCAACTCCTAAGTAGTGTTTATAGATTGCAGTTTGTTTCTATTAGGACACTTCCTCCCCTTGTGTACAGAGGGAACAAACTTGGCCCAGGTTTTCCTTTGTTCAATACTTAGATAATGGCCTTTTAAAAGGGGTAAGTGTGTGTGTGTTTGCTCACAGCCCAGACCCCCTAGTCTTCTGCTGACAGAAGCAAGGTTTTGATAGCTTAATCACAGACACTGCCTGTAACAAAGAGGTGTGTGTATTTGTGTGTATATTTATATGTATATAAAAAGATGCAAAGGAGGGGGGAACTGTATCATGTAAGGAAACAGGACTTCTCATAACTTCTTTTGTTTTGGTTTTTTTTTTTTCTGCCCCCACTCTCCCCATTAGGTGATGCCACTCATAAGATCCCTATGTCTGGATTTCCTCTTTCACGTACTTGTTATGCAGTTGTCTTCCGGGAACTTCTTGAGTTTGTCCAGCCAGCCAGAGGTGTTCAGCCTCACTTTTACTGCAGGGTATGGTCAAGGTCGAAGTAAGATGCTCTGAATCAAAACCTTTAATTTCACTTCTGTTAGATGAGTAAGGAGGTACTTCACTCTAAAACCTAATCAATGTGCAAATGAGTGGTAAAAGACACTCTTTTCCAAAGTATCCCGGTTCTGTGCAGGAAGAAATGACCTCTAGAAGCTAACCTTTTTATAAAGCGGAGACCTAATTTTCTGCCTTCTTATTTCAGTCTGCCCTTCTGGCTGTAGTCTACTGATGAACATTTCACTTGGTTTCTGACATAGTTTTGACTTGAGTTAAGGGCTTTTAAGATTGACTTAAATTGATTGTGCTGAATAATAGTCACACAATCCTGCTTTTCTAAGGGATGTTTTTACATTTTCATGACTCTCTCCCCGTAAGAATACTGTACATCTTAATTTTTGCTCAAGTCTCATTTGCCAGTAAGCAAAACAAAATGTTAGAATTCAGAGATGTTTAAGCTTCATGACAGCTATATTATGTTTTGATTCCATTCAAGTCTAATGTTAATCCTTAAAAAGGCAGGGAGGGTCAAGATTTTGGGCTCTCTTCATAAACGTAGAGCTCTGAAGAAATATGCACGAAAAAAAGCAGCACTTACTGGAGACATCTGTAGCATGGGTTAACCTTTAACCTGTCCCCAAACATTAGTCCAGAATTACTCCTGCGGTTTGGTTGGAAAGCCTTAATGACGTTCAATTGCTCTTCAAGATAGTATTCAGGAAGAGTGTACATTTATTCTCACAAATACTGAATTTTGTTTTGGAGGTGGCTTTTTCAGATGTAGTCAGAAGTCTTGCAGATGTCAGAATTGTATACTGTATTTCTTCAATGTGACTGAAATTTTCTTTCTTCTAGTCTGATGACAGATTCCGAATTTACTGGTGTCTCAATCGAATGGCTAGCGTAACAGGTGGGAAATGGATCATTTTTGGTCTTTTTCCCCCTCCCCAGGAAAGAAGGGTTATGTAATCATGGACAGCAGTATTTGTCTGAAAATATTCAGGTCTCAAAGCTTTCATAAAAGCAGGTACTGATAGCTAGACTACTTTGCATGCTTGTCTCTTTTCCTCCCCATCAGTGACAGTAAAACAGCAGCATGATCAGCTAACTGGCTAATGAGCACATCTGTAGAATAACAGATTGCTGTTTTTTGCTCAGCCGGTTAGAGGAGCACTAGAGGCAGTGAGATTACTGTGAAGGTGAGCATATAGTAACACATGGGAAAACTAACAGCTTCTGAGGAGAGATGTCCTGCAAGTAGGGTACATAATTACTGAGGGAGAGAAAATTATGGGAATATAGGGCAGCCCACTTTGCTAGGAAGCCAAGTTTTATTAAAACCAGTGGTGGAATAACTTGTTAAGGTTTACAAGAGCTTTGATGCTCTGGTAAGAGGCTGGGCAGTGAACAGGGACTGACTGAGAAGTGAGCTGAGCAGAACATGCACTAACTGTTGTTCTCCTGAGCTGGATTTTCTCTGAGCTATAGGTATTGAGAGCCATCTGGAACTTCTTGCTGTAGAAGACCTGGTATTAGAACTGTACCGGCAGAAATACCAGAAGGAGCCATCCAAGACTTGGGTGTGTAGAGAACTGGATGCCTTCCTGTGGGATTTCTCCAGTAATACCAGGTATGTTGGGATTCTTCTTTGTGAAAACGTGTATTAGATGGACATGTCTCAGCGCCCTACATTCAGCTTGTATGCTGCTAGTCTAGAACGTTCTGCGAGTCTTCTAATCTGAAACGCTTCTTGTCACATTGTGAGTAAAACTGGAAATGAAAAATACTTTCCCAAATGAAGTGTAAAGATAGATGTTTTTTTAATGCTGAGGCATAATTTAAAGGAGGGGGTAAAAAATGGGAATAAAATACATTGTGGTATTTGACTGGAAATCATAGAAGTGAGAAGATTCAGACTCTTAGAAGTGTAATTTGGATGGGACCTGGCTGTTGTTATACATCAAATGCGTCATGCTGCTACTATGATGAGGGACAAGTGATGTTTGCCAGCAATATAAATTAAGTTCTCAAGCGTAAGCTTTCAGTTAGTTCATATCTTTTTTTTTTTCTTCCAGAATGAATGTTCTTTATAACACATCTGGAATCCTATCTTTTCCTTTTTTTATTTCCTATGCCTCTTGAATGGTAAAACTTTTCCTGCTTTCAGATTCTTCTGTGTTTGTACAAAAACGTGGTATGTAGCTTGTGGTGTTGCAGGGGAATATTTAGTGATTGATGACGGAATTAGCTCAGAAATGTACTTTAACTTTTCCTCTGCTACTGTTTTAAGTAAGAACCAATAATTTGTTCTTGAATTTTAGTAGATTTTTTTTAAAAAAATTCTTGGAAGTCTGCTTACAGTATGGATTTTAAGATCTGTTGGGATAATCAATGTCACTTTTATCTTTTAAAAGTCAGGTAGTTTTCCATTTCCATGAGTATCTTCACACTAGAGGGAGACCGGAACAAGAATGGGAAAAAATGGAGAAAAGGAGGCCTAGGGGAGACCTTATCACTCTCTACACCTATCTGAAAGGAGGTTGTAGAGAGGTGGGGATCAACCTCTTCTCATTAGTAACAAGTGATAGGATAAGAGGAAATGGCCTCAAGTTACACCAGGGTAGGTTTAGGATGGATATTAGGGAAAAGTTCTTCACAGTAAGGGTTGTTAAGCATTGGAACAGGCTGCCCAGGGAAGTGGTGGAGTCGCCATTCCTGGAGGTATTTAAAAGATGGGTAGACGTGGTGCTGAGGGACATGGTTTAGTGGTGATTTTGGCAGTGTTAAGTTGGTTGTTGGACTTGATGATCTTCAAGGTCCCTTCCAACCTAGACAATTCTATGATTCTATGAAAACACACACTTGGAGAGGAAACTGGGGCTGCTTATACTAAAAGGATCTGTTTCACATTAAAGGGAAACTCTAAGTTGTTACCTTTAAATTCCATTTGTATCTTAGGATTCTCTTTTCTCTCTTCCCCCAACCTCAGCATGAAGCAGATTGCATGTTAGGCGTGCCTTTTAACTCTGCCACTTGGAGCTTAGTTATTTAACGTTGGTCCTCTGTGAAATTCTAAAGGTACTGTATGGTCACTGAGACAAAAAGATAACATCTTTAATGTCAGTTCCTGTTCCTTCTGACTGGACTAGCTATTCATGTTGATTAAATATGTAGATGCTTCTGAAATAAGCCTGAACTTCATTTCATGTAGGTGCAAGTGGCATGAGGAGAATGATATACTCTGCTGTGCTTTGGCATCCTGTAAGAAAATTGCGTGAGTATTGCTCGGGAGTTATCTCCAGCATGATGACTTTTTATTTTGTTATAGACATGTGGTTTTGCTCTGGCTTCTCTGACTGCCTGGAACATTGTAGTTCTAGATCTTGAGTTTTTTAATTCTATTTGTAATATCACTGTTGTTTGTATGGCTTAGCAGTATGCTGTAAGTCTTAGCACTTAGATGTAATGTAATTTCTGTGATAGTAATGTCCATCACTCTGTAATGATCCTTTCACTACCTCCACTTACTATTAGAGAGCCGAGAGAAGTGTTAATTACAGTAGAAGTAACTCTTTTTCTTTGGAGGTTTAGTATAGCTGCATTTGGTGAGAAATTCTCAGTATATCTAGTATATCTCTACTTTGGAAACTTTTATACTGCCTTACATGTAATGTAGATAGATAAGGTTCTGTAATCTTTTTGGTGTGTGGGGGGGAAGGGAAAGTAAATAGTTGGGAAATAAGGAAATACCATTAAGATCTCAGTCAGTAGTAGTAGCACTTTGAGAGAGATAATAATGAATAGTCTTTCATTCAAAAAACTTGTTACATACTGCTATGCCTTGCAGAAAAAAAAAAAAGTGTTGCTTTTCACACTTCCGAGTGGCTGCATTTGATAGTGTGGGGAAACAGTTGTTTTAATTTCCTATGTATTTGTAGAATAGGCTAGTGGTCTTGGAAGGATGCAGGGTAACTATTTAGCTGCTGCGATAATGTCCTCCTGTGCTCTGTCATCTGCTCTGTGCATCTCAGTCTGTGATTGCTTTTGCTTGCCAGTTGAAGAACTAAAAATGCTGTGCTTCCGTACGTGACTATTGCAGCCCTTTTAGCGAAACTTTTATTATTTTCTTTTTTCTTGGTCAAGTTACTGCATCAGTAAATCTTTAGCTAGTGTGTATGGAGTCTCACTGACAGCAGCTCACCTACCTCTTCAAGACTCTGATTATGGTGAAAGCACAAATACGAACACAGTCATACTGGATGCTGGACGTTTTCAGGTCAGATTCTTTAAACTGCTATCCTGTTTTATTTCTAGTTAACTCGAGTGTTCAAACTTGCCAATTTCAGGTTAGCGGTTTTCTCTTTGGATGCTGTTTTTTGTGACGTATATTGGGCAGACCCGCGAAAGAAAAATAATGATTAGCTGGGTCTTTTCTTGTGATTTTTTGATCATAATTCATAGGTTTCATGGATAGTTGTGTATACTGCGTTTTAGAAGACACGTATTATTTTGAATGTTTATTTCTTCATACAGAAAATGAAGGCTGAGGGTTCTGGATGTGACAGACATTTTGGTTCTCCAAGCCGTGATCAAGAGTTTCTCCCTTCTAATTGTGAGTTTGAAACTTTCACATTTGTGAGGGGAAAGAGGTATTTAAACTTAAGCCAATTGCTGCTTTTTCAAATTTCTGGGCTTAGATATTGCCTGTCAGTGGCATAAAGTGTAAACAGCTCTGCATGAGCTGCGCTTATTCCTGCTTATGAATGTCACTGAATTTCTGAAGATGTAAACATAAAGAGCTGCCCTTTTCTTACTGGATGCAATCTTACGGTCAAAAGGTTTCTCAAAACTTAGTTTTTCTTATACATGTTGCTCTCTGATACCCCTTTATTTTTCTGCTACATGAAGTCCATTCACATAGACTTAGGTGCTTTGAGGCAGGACCATCTTTAAAATACTCTCCTTGCTCTTATGTCATTATATGTGCAGACTCAGCTGGAACTTGTTGCAAGTATTCTGTTATAACTCAGTTTATAAAGACTGCTTATTTAAAATCTTCTTTTTGGAGATGCAGTTGTTTTAGTAGAAGGCATATGGGCTCAGTTCATCTGGGCAGTTCATGACTAATCTTCAGAGAAACAGAATCGAGTTTGCAAGACAAATAACTAAGAATTCTGAGTTTGCAGCTTATTTTATTGCATATAAAATACTGAATTAAACTCCAAAACTGTTCCAATTATAAATCATGGGATCCTATGGTCTCAGTGTTTATAGAGGACACAACCCCTGTCTCTGATTTTTTGCATTAGAGCTATTGAATAGGTTCAGCTCCACAGCATATGAAGAAGAATTCCATTAATTTATGTAAGCTTTAAAGGCTGATTTGATTTTCAAACTGTATCTAATTTAATAGGTGATTCTCCACGTGGTGCGAAGACCTCCCTTTATGGAACAAGTATCATGCGAGGAAGAGGAATTACTCGATTGCTGAAAAGTGCATCTGATCTATCCAAGTCTTTCAGTAATTGAAAATCTTTTTTACATCCAGGGCACCTGTAAATTCTGATTTTCCTTGTTTCCCTCAAGTAACCAGCAGTTTCTCCAGCCTGCAGTTTTTCATCTTATTTTCACCGCTTGACAGCTCAAGTTCTTGTTAGAATGATAAAACTATTGACTGGATTTAAAGAAGACAAAAATCTTATTTATTATCTACAGGAAGACTTATTTTGAAGGGACCTGACAGTGCATTCTCTCATTAAAAGTACATGCCATAGTAGTTCTATTTCTTAATGGATGGGGTGCAAACTTGAGATCAATTAGTCAATATCATAGGATTAGAAGAGAACGTTAGTGGCCAATGTGACTTTAAACAAGTGCTTTACTTCTTCTTTAATAACCTCCTTCCCCTCTTGGGCGTGTGGAAGGTAGGATTTCAATGTATAACAATCTGTCCCCAAAAAATGATGGGAGGGGGGAGCATCGAAGATATGAAGGGCTGCACTAGGGTAATTAAAGGTATAACAGTCTCAAAGGTTTGCTATAATCTTGTCAGTTCTAGCCATGAAGAATTGGAGTGGTCATTCAAGACAAAAAAGCAGACTTTCTATGAAATGTCTTGTAAGAAATGTCGTGGCAAATTTATGCATCTGTTAATGTTCTTTTAGAGGCACAGACTATATACATCAGGAACAAGTACAACAGATTTTTTTCTTTGTTTTCCTTTGCATCAGTTTTCTGTTTAAAAAAAAAAAGTATGTTCCTCAAACCTACAGACTGAAGAGGAGTGTAGGTGTTATGGGGTTTTCTGAAAGGAATATCAAATTCAAACTGATGTATTAATCTGCACGTATATTTTCACAAGTTTAGTCAGGCTGGGTAGATAGCAGTCATCGATTATTTGAGGGCACATAAGAACTGAGAGACTGTCTGAGGTATCACAGGGAAGTTAGATGTTCTGTTTTATGGAGGTACAAGTCTTGGACTAGTCCCCAAAAAGTTGTCTGTTGCCTGAGCCTCCTCCTTAAACCATGTGTCTTTAAGCAACTGATTCTCAGAAATAAGAGCTTAAATTTTTTGGAGTTGTTTCTACATTTTGTTCCAACAGAGGTCCAGTTGTGAAATACTATTTCCATAGCAACTAACTGTGCGAAGATACTTATTTCATTCTTTGTAGGAATAGAAACTCCAGATTAGGTGGTTCATTCTTTTGGATAATAGGGGAAAAAAAAACCCAAACCCAAACAAAACCCAAAATCCAACCAAAATAAGAGGTCAGCACATTTATTCATAAACTCAAGCATGCTGATCAGTATGTCAAATAAGACCAATTGCTGGTTTAGTTGGAAACCTGTTGCAGTTGCTGTAAGTCCAGTTGATGCCCTTGTTCCAGTATTGCAGAATCACTGAATCATTTTGACACCTCTTACCTAACGTTTGCCTATATCACTGAATATTCTTGAATTATTCTGTATTTCCTTTCTCTGAGGCTGTTGTTCTACCTGCTAAATTTCACCAGATAATGGACAATAAACCTCTAAGACTGAGGTTTACTGATCATGCATCTGGGAATGTTGTAACAGAGTAAGAGTGTTTATTTAGTAGTGGTAAAAGCCTCTCTACATTGGAATAGAGTTGTTCAAGTTTTAAGTTTCTTAACTGACAGCCATTGATAGCTGCATTGACATTTCAAAACATAAAGAACTATTCTTTGAAATATTTTCATAGGTCAGTGTTGCAATAAAAGTTTCATGTTTCAGTTCTTGTGAAGAGAATTCATTATTACAATTAAAATATTCCTTCAGTATCAGTGTAAGTAAACAAACTGAAGAACATTTGTTACTATGTTTAAAGTATTATATATCTTCAAGACTGAGATAAAGCATCTGAGCAGAAATGGCAAAATACAGAGTTAGGGCTCCATGGCATGTCTATACCTTGTCACCTGTGGCTTAAAATAGTACGTAAAAATGTAGAAGACATAGTAATACACTGTAGGCAGTAGGCTTTTAACTAGGTCAGTAACTGTCTCACTGTAATAACCAACAACCTGTAAGATCTATATAATGAGAATGAGTACACTAACTTGATGTAGACTGTTTAATACTATTATTCTGTATATAGTGGGATGGATCCCTAACAGCTGTTGGAGGATGATAGAGAATTCTTTAATTTTGGAGCTCTGCTTTCCTGGCTGTTTTGTAATTTGAAACTCTCTTTGATTTCTTGAAAAATAAATTCCACTTAATAAAAGCAATACAGTAATGCTTCTCTCCTTTAATGGAAAAGTAAAGATGAGGGAAAGAGGTGACTTAGAACCTTAGCACACTTTTTAAGTGCGAGGAATAGTACTGGTGAGGCACAAACTGTGGGTAAAAATCAGAACAAAATTCTCCCCACTTGCATGACACAATTCTCAAGGCAAGTGAAGGCAGAATGGTTCTTGAGCAGAGTTTGAGTGATGCAGCCCGGGAGCTTTAAACAGGTACTTTCCCCATGGTAAAAAGTGACTAACTTAATACTGTCTGCATATGAGTCTATAGGTACCATACAGAATCACAGAATGGTCAGGGTTGGAAGGGACCTCTGGAGATCATCTAGTCCAACCCCCCTGCCAGAGCAAGGTCACCTACAGCAGGTTGCACAGGATGGCGTCCAGGCGGGTTTTGAATGTCTCCAGAGTGGGAGACTCTACCACCTCTCTGGGCAGCCTGTTCCAGTGCTCTGCCACCCTCAAAGTAAAGAAGTTCCTCCTTGTGTTTAGATGGAACTTCCTATGTTTGAGTCTGCCCGTTACATCTTGTCCTGTCACTGGGTACCACTGAAAAAAGACTGTTCCCATCTACCTGGCAACCCTCCCTTTAAGTATTTGTAACCATACAAATTGAACTGTCCAAAGAGTTGTTGTTGTAAAGGAAACATCTCACAGATTCTATCAGACCTAACTTTCTGTTCTCTTATTAGTGCAGGTTACTCTGTCCTGTGACAGTAACGGATAGAAGTCATCCTGGTTTTATAAACATGTTAGAAAGTTAATAGGTATTTTTGTTCTTGTTATATGAGTAAGTAGGTGAGTTGTTGAATTATGCGTTACTATTCTCTACTCTAAAGGTTTTGGTTAGGAGAAGAGTTGTCTGAGGGCCATGAGAGCACAATGGACTGCAGTGACAACTTTGCTGACTTAGTCTATGACATCAGTATATTAACCTGTAATCACATATTCTTTTACATTCTACTCAAAGAGTGTATAACTGATACTGAAAAATAAAGCATGTTCCTGTAGCATAAGCAGCAGTTACTGATTCTATGTAGTAGAAACTATGAATTTGACTGTTACTTATGAATTTCTGGCTTGTCCACTTTCTTCTTTCAATGAACTGTAGAAACTAGGTATGGGAAGAAGTTCCTATTTGACCACTGTCTCTGCTCCAGCTAAGAGTATTCTGGTCAGTACCTTGTATTCTGATATAGCAGAAATATTCTCTTAAATATATACATGTATTACTATATCCACAGAATATATAAACATCAAGATGAAGAGGGCATTCAGTTCCTTGACCTTCTCCTTGTCCTTTATGACTAGGTCCCCATTCCCATTCAGATGCACTCGCAGAAGTCCTTCTTGTTGACCTTCACGTGCTTCACCAGATTTAGCTTTGGATGGGCTTTGACTTTCCTAACCCCATACCTGCATACTCACACAGCACCTCTGTATTTCTTCCAGATCACTTGTCCCTGCTGCTAACTCCTGTATGTTTCCTTTTTATGCCTGAGTTTTGTCAAGACCTATTTGGTCAACCTCTGCTTGTTCTCCTGTTTGTCTTGGAGGGGGTGATACTTGAAAAATCAGCAAGCTTGCCTGGACCTCTGTTCTCTTCAGGACCGTATGCCACAGGATCCTTCCAAGCCGATTTCTGAACAGGCCAAAGACTGCTCCTCTGAGGACCAGGGGTTGTGATCCTGCTTTTTGCTTTTTTACTTCTTAGGATCCCAAACGCCGCTATCTCACGATTACTGAAGCTAAGTTTGCTCCCCAGCCTTCACATCCCTGACCAGTTTGTTCTTGTTTGTAAGTATGAGGTCCAGCAGAGACTGCCTCCCTTCCTTGCCTCCTCCTCAATCACTTGTATCAGGAAGTATCAGGCTTCTTCCAGTTGTCTGAAGAAGGCCTTGTGTACTTCCTCCTGATAAGGCTGTCTCCAGCAGACATCCACTGGAATGTCACCCACATTGGTCTGCTCTCCGTGTCCAACCCACGAGCTCCTGGCTGGCTCATTGTCCACCCCCAGGTGGAGCTGTGTGCATTCCAGCTGCTATCTCACATAAAGAGCAACTCACCCTTCTCACCTCCCAAGTGTGAGAAAACAAGCTTGGGCAATAAGTGAAGTGTGGGAAGGGAAGCCTAGCAATCTCTTTATTCCTGAGGCCTCTAGGCTCAACGCTTGCGCTAGTTTCAAGGTCTGCATTATAACTAGTGAAGTTGTCAAAGAGAGAGCGTTTGCTGTGTCTAAAGTAAGGTTAATCTTTATTACATCTTTAGCAATTTGTCAGCAAAATCTTAAAAGATAGAAGGAAGGCAGTAATTTGGTGGGGATTTTCTGGGTCAAGGGTCTGCCAAATATTAGGTGTTGGGTTTTGCTGTTTAGGTGCACGTCAAACTGGAGGAAGCAGTGCTGTGATCCTTGATCAAATGACACAGTTGATACTCATTCCACTGGGTGTGTTCTTTGCTGGCTACTTAGAGTGAGGTCCATGAGTAGTACTCAAATAGAAAACATGCTTCCATTTCAGGGACTCTGTGTCTTGAGCCATCACAGTCAGATGATGATGTGCTGATTCTTCTGAATAAAGATTTGTGTTGAGTGAATGAAAACCTGTATTCAGGGAAGCCCTACCTGGATTTACTAGCAAAATAGCTGTAGTTTTCTGTTCCTGATACCTTTTTAAAAAACCTGCATAATTAATAGAGAGGGACTGTGCTTTTTGACCTGTTAGTTGAATTAAAAAGTGCTAATCCTTTCCCTAGCAAGAAT